AACAAAGATGAGCAATGTTGATAAAACAAAATTAACAGAGTAAGCAAGGAGCCTACTTGTTTATACTGACCTTGTGGAAATTGACACTTTGTAAAAGAACTGAATACTGGCGATTCAAAATCAGGATTTATATCTATGTTGCATTTAGATCTCCAAGTAGACGCTAGATTTATTAGAACGTTAGGATTCAAATCCTACAAGTTTTTGTATGATCCAAAAGAAACCCGACCCGTTGCCACCAAAAAATGGTACGCTCGATAAAAGGCAGGTATTTGACTAAACACTTAAGTATTTCAAATCAAACCATTTATTACAGAATATAAGCATACAAAATACGTATAAATCATATATAAAAATATACAACACAGTGAGATTCAAGTGGCTCAACCATGCACCAAATTGATCCAAATTAACCGCCGATCTCCAGCCCCAACCTTCCAACTCCAATCTCCATCCTTGATACCTAACTGTAAAATTATTTTTCTGCATTCCATTAATTTTACAGCTTGTTTGGCAATCACTCAATATAGGACCGGGTTTGTGGATCAAGTTTAAGCCAGATTTAATTTTCAGAACAATTCTGATTGGGGAAAATTGAGTCAGTTTTTTTTAGGTCAACAAAGGGGCTTTAAATTGGTTCTATTTTGAACCACCCATCCCAGTTCAAAATAGAACCTGTTTTGCTTGAAACTAGGCCGGGACGAGTCCTTGACCCGCTTCATACATGAGCCCATACAATGTGTTTTATGAAGAAAGAAATCAATATTCATGATATTTATTGCTCAAAAGTATTCAAGGCACTTGTATCATTGCATAGCAGGTAGGCAAGCAATACTGCCCGATCCCTGGGGCTTTGCCTTCCCTTTTGTTCAAATCGGCAAGGAGAGCAAACGCTCACAATCTGACTCGCAATCTGATGTTTCAGATTTCTGGCAAATATACTCATTCAATATGGTGAAGCCCAATTTCCTTTGGTGTCAGAAAAAAAAAACAGAAATAAAAGAGATTATGAGAACGAGATTTTATTACAGGAAACGATATTCCAATGGGATAACGATAACATGTCCCTGGTTTTGTAATTAACTACATCATACATTGTGCAGTAGGAGAAGAAAGATGTCCATTCTCTTGGATGAGACACTAAGCTTTTCCAACTGAACCAAAAAGTTGCATTTTCTCTACAACCACTGCTTTCATTGCCTCTTTAGCTGCAGCCATCACATGAACCAAATCTTTGCCGGGCTGCTTCAGAGATTCTAAGTAAGCATTCCGAACTTCTGTGTTCACATTGAACTTCCTAACTCCAAGCCGTATGCACTCCTGTTGAATCCGTATTCTTTGTTATCCCTCAATATGTTAACATCTCTTTTCTACTTCGTTGATATCTTTATGGCGGGTAATAATTTTTCTTTTGTTGTTTGCAAGCATAAACAAAGGTAAAACTATCATGGAATCAAAGTAAAAACATTAGTACCTTTACAAGCTCACTGGGAAGACCAGATGCTCCATGGAGAACTAAACTTACTCCTTTGTTCTGAGTTAATTCTCGGAGATCCTGTACGAAGAAGTCAGCATTACTATTTGAGAAGTCGGGAGTTACACATAACATCGTAGTAAATATTTACGCAAAAACCATAGAAGAATCTTAACTGTTCTAAGAAGTGTCAACAATGGCTTTAAATTAACCTTAGAATGTGAAATAGCTAACCTTCAGTAAGTCAAGTCTGAGATTAGGACCACTGGCAGGATATTTTCCATGTACATTTCCAATGCACACTGCTAAAGCATCAATGCCTGTCTCATCTATAAATTCTTGGGCCTGTGACAAATAAGATGTTGAGATAATAAACTTAAAGAGTACTATTCGATATTCCACCCATTCATAAGATACCTACCTGAGCAACAACAGTTAGTCTAGATTCATAATCTTCGACTGTTAGGTCATCTTCCGTGCCTGAGAGTCGCCCAAGTTCAGCTTCTACTAGCATCTTCTTTGAGTGTGCCAAAACCGATATGTACTTTGTGTATGAGATATTTTCTTTCAGAGGAAGATGAGAACCATCAACCATAACCGAATCAAATCCCTAGATGGTTATCAAAGGAGAAATGCATTTAGTCATAAACAAGCATCCACCCGGTGTGGTATTTATAGAGGAGCATCTTTCATGAGTACATACCAACTCAAGCGCCTCTAGAAGTTCAGATTTGGAAGTTCCATGATCAAAATGAACACCAACTGGTACCTGTAAAATAATTCCAGAATTTATCATGAACTACGAAAATCGAAAAAATTAAATCTTTTCTATTATTTTCTATTAGTACTGCGATATGACATATTTGCATTAGTAATGCCCTGTTATGATTTGAAGAAAGTACCCGTGAGCTAAATTATAGGAGAAGATTGAAGGAAAACTAGTTTATTCACAATGTTTTTAATGGAGAAAGGCTGCAGTGAATAATGACAATAAATTTGTAGATATACAGTTCCAAATCACATTGGCATATGGAGTAGAAATAAAGGACAATCGTATTAACATTTAACATGGTTCATTTCTGACCTGTCCAAAATTTACAGTCTACTAAAATGATAATACTGTAGACATGTATAGAAGGAAGCGTCTCTATCCTGGTTTTTTGCCAAGCACATGTTCAATGAATTTTAAGGCCATCAAAAAGAAGAAACTCAAAAGTCCCTTCTTCTTTCAAGGTTGCATGAATTCTTCTAAAAAAAAGTTCCAAGTCCACAACCAACATATTCTTTTTTAAAACATTTCAGTGACACAATTAGGATTTAAAGTCATGATGAAACTACCCTGCAGAGAGTAGCACATCTCAATCTTAGTGCACTTACTCTGGCATGTTCAGCAGCCGAAATGCAGCATGCAACTAACGGAAAACCTCCTTGCTTCAGAGCTCCTGGATGAACCTGGAGGTGTAATGAAGAAATTATAGGAAATTTAGTATTTAAAATATGAAATTTATCTCCAAAAATAAGAGAGAAAACAAGAAAGCTCCTAACTTCAATTCTACCGTCCTTTTTTCATCATGTTCTTTGGAGACAAGATTAAGTATCAGGTAATGAGGAAAGAGACTGAACAATTGCCAAGAGGTAGAGAGCACTCTAATTTCTTAGTAAGGGGATTTCCTTGCAAGTTGAACTAATTTAAATAACAATTTTAACAATAAAACCCACCGAGCATACATGATATATGTTTTTCACTAAATAGACATCCATAAACTATCAAGGGTGCACCTTGTATGGGGGCACAAAAGGGGGAAAAGAAAGATTGTAATGAGTCACAAACTTGATTAGAAATCTCCGAATATAATGTTTTTGGTGATCACATTTAAAGAGTGCTTGGTGTCCAACACAAACACCAACTAACGTATCAGTGTTGTTTAATAAGCCCTCAAATACTTGTGGCAAGCACCTCCTTAGTATTTTTAAGAAAGAGAAAATATACGCAAACAGAAGTTGCTCACCTGCAAAATAGCAGGACTCTTTTCAGCTTCTGCAGCAGCAACAACTGCTTCAACTCCTTCAAGGTTGTAAACATTGAAGGCACCCACAGCATATCCGCCCTTCTCCGCATTCTTGAAGTTAAGCAAATCAATTAGTATCTATTACCCAAAACCAAAACAATTCAGTATACAGGACTCACAAGAAGAAGTTCTTTTATTGATGTTTTAAGGCCGCAAGCCCAATTATTTACAACTTCTGCCAGAGCATTGTTATTGCCAACATTACCTATGATGGAAAAAGGTTAGATGCAATTTCAGAGGAATAAACAGAAATATGCCACACAAAAAAAAAGTTGATCACCTGGGAAAACAATATAAGGGACCCCGGGGAGTCTGCTTTCTGGACCAAGCTGCCATAATGGGATTCCAGCCAGTGCTTGTCCAATAACCATCGCACGCTTAGCTTCTAAGGCTTTTGTAGCAATATCAGATGAAGTGATTCCTCCCTGCAATGAGATAGACACATCTCAACCTAACAAGTTATGTACATTTTCCTTTAAGACTGCTCACATACGTGATTAATATTGCTTTTACATATTTCTATAAATCCTGTATCATCACAGACAGATATAGTGTTAATCAGGACAAATGTGCAACGCCATATTGGTACAAGATCCTCTATGAAAATATTTATTAATACACTACTTATTATAGTAGAAATCTAGTTTCCTTTATTTCTCTCAATTCAGTTATTCAATGTAAATACAGTAAGAGTTTTTCCTTTTTTGTATGTTTCATTGAAAAAAAAGGGGAACCGTCAAACTTCAGCCTGTGTAACTACTAAAAGTTTGAAGTGAGGACAATATCTAAATTAAATCTACACTTTCCCTTACAATGGAAAATAATGTGAACTGCTGAACTCCTTAACATTTATTAAGACACAAAAAGAGAACACTATAAACATGATTCACTTTGCACGAGCCTCACTTTGGCGTCTTCTATTCTCATCTTCATAATAACAATAGAATAATTTAATGTAATATAATGTAGATACTTTTGCTAAGAAAAGTCCCTTATGGTGCTTATAGAGAGTAAAAGTGAGCTAGAATACCTTGGCAAGGATATAACGGGGTCGAGCACTTATCCTTCTGACAATTTCCACCAAGGCAGAGCTGACCTTGTAGTTAATTTCTAAGCTCTCTGAAGCAGCTGCAAAAGAATAGGTAAAAGTACTTTTACTGAAGCAGTCGACAAATCTGAAAAGATAATGGGCTGAGACTTGAGATTAGGAATGACTGGTACCAATTTAACTATTTAAGCAATGCCTCCAATTACGTGGAGTCAGGTAAATATAGCAATTACAGTAATAAACTTCGCAAAGAATATCCTAGGAACTTTTTTATCTACCACTGATGGTAGTTCACAACCACTACTCACTAGAAGGATAAACAAGATATTTTTTCAGGAGAATGTGGGACACCCATCACATGGCTTAAAACAATTTGCTATGCAATCTAATATTCTAGACGTCGTAAGAATCGAATGATGGCAACTCATAACCTTGTAAGGTTAGAGACCTCATAGACAGATTATTTCAGTGCAGCAAGAAAGCTTCACCACCACCACTTCTCTCTATGGTTCTGCATCTCTCTCTAAGGACATGCATCTATATGATGGAATAAATATGTAAATTGTTAATCTGATATTTATATGCATCTCTCTCTAAGGACATGCATCTATATGATGGAATAAATATGTAAATTGTAAATTGTTAATCAGGACATGCATCCTAAGGAAAAGTTTTCGGTACCATACAACATGGCATGCATGAATAAATGCGGATACAGGAGATCTGAAGGATACTACAGCAAGTAAAGCATGGCTGTAGGTAGGCAATCTCTTCTCACAACTACGAAAGTAAGAGAAAGAAGATGAAACTAACATTTTCCAGTGACGAGTTGCCGGCTTGTAACCAGGAGAGTATCCTTGTGTGCTCCTATAGAAGCATTCACAATTTCTGCAGAGCAATTGATCTCTTCTTCTCTCTCTTCAAGTGACTTCATGGAAAGTTTTTCCACAGACACCTGTGTCACACAAAGTTAAGGTGTGTACCTTGTAGGGAACAGAGAAAATATTCCATCTGATTGACAGTCTACATAACATTATCTTATTTCTAAGTGTATACTCAATAAATAGGAAACTACGAGCAAAATATTAGGAAACAGCTTCAAATGACATTGATTAAGAAGGATACCTCTAAACAGTTCATGTTAGGGCCCATGCGTGATTTAAGCTCTTCAACCTGAATAAAATATAGTATATACAGTAACTCCATGGATTTTTTGCAAAAGAAAAGTTAAATGGTTGAAGACGCCAATAGTTATTAAATAATTGACCTGCTTTGTAGTCTTTGGGACGTATGAACCCACAACAATGAGGCCTCCACTTATACCTTTGCTTATTCCTAAGTCTCTTGGAGATATGGGAGCCTTTGGTCTTATTCCAATACGAGCAGATACAAAACTGGCTGCAGTGCGACATAGAAAACTCCTTCCTTTCACTTCTGCCTGCCAAGGTAATTTTTAAAGTTACTGTTAGAAACTCAAAACCTGTTCCAGTCACCATTACACATCAAGTACACTTGCCTGGATCATTCCAGCTGCAAATACGGCGACGTCTCTTTCACTTGCGGCATTGACAATACATAGGGAACCCTATCATGTGTGCAAGAATAATCAGAGAAGGAACACAAAGAAATAATGGTATGAGTAACCATGACCATCATGCATGGAACTTGAAACATTTGACCTCCTAAGAGGATGATTCGGACATATTAGAACTTTCTACTAAATAATAGTATAGTATCTATACCTAAGGATGTTGGAATTGTGTTTTTAATTCTTTGTATAACTTCATGAGAATTAGATAGGGTTAGAGATCTCTCATGATTAGGAGATTGCGTCTCATCATGATTAGGAGTTTGAATCATATTCTAATTACGAAGTTAAGCTAGAGATAGGGTTCTGATTTTCCTATTATATTCTTCTATTGTTGGAGAAAAAACCAAGGAGAAGAGAGAGCCAATATTCTTGTAATCTACAGTTAGCAGAGGGCGTAGCCTGATTTAAGGATATTATGCGAGAGGCGATGGTTTTGTAGTCTTTATTCGTGCAAAAAATTACAATACCGGGAGAGTGTTTTGCAGTCTTTGTCCATTCAAAAGATTGTAAGGAGTGGGTTTTGAAGAGAATATGAGAGTTGATTATGTATGTGAGATTGAGAGATTGAGTGACAAGAGTTGAGTGGTTCCTCTTGTAATTGTCTCTGATACATAGTAGATTTCTTATATTGTTGTCCTGTGGATGTAGGTCGAAGTTGATCGACTGAACCACGTAAATCTCGGTGTTCTTTCTTCTTATTTGCGGTTGTTTTCTATCTTATTGATTGTGGGTTGGCTTTCGAATTGCGAAGATCGTAGTACGCAATGAGACTAAATTCCCTAACAAGTGGTATCAGAGCCATGATGATAGATCCGAAAGCGAGTTCGCAAGATAGACGTCATACAAAAGTGAAAGTTGGCGTCATTACAAGAATCAAGATGAAAAAAAGAAAAAGAAAAAAGGTACTGTAACGGCCAGAACATTGTTCACGTAGGTGAGGGTTTGGTTAAAAATTATTAAATCAAATCCGACGGTGCAGATTAATTTGTCTTTTGATTGAGGGTTTGGAGGCAGATTTCGACGATCCAGGGGTTGATTCCTAGGTTTTTAAGTGCTTTGAACGCGATGGGAGGGTTTGATTATTCAGATTTTGCTCAGATTGGTTAAAAAGTGCTGATAAGTTCTAACGATGGTAACAAGACAGATCTGATTACAGATAGGACAAATGAGTATGCGACGGATGAGACTGGTATAGAAAATCGGACGTGATTCTAGCATTAGAGTTGTCAGCATATAATTATTAAGAGTCATCACGGGAGCAGGAGTTGGTTGGTGTGTAGACTCAAGGATGACAGTGTCAGATCAGGTGGAGCTTGCAATCAAGCACGACTGAGTGACATACATAGCGATGGAGATAGTGACATTGAACTTGAAGACAATGAGCGCTCATATTCAGTCCAATCCAAGTGATGGAGGAGATAAAGGCATCCGACTCGTAGTATGGAGTAGAAGAGGTGCACCGATATGTATGAGACGAGTGATGCAGGTAGAGTACGAGGACAACAAGTAGAGAAAGACTTTTGTCAAGTTCAGTTCGGGAGGAGAAGCATGGTTGATTTTTTCTAATGTCAGAGGTGACGAAGATCTCTTGGTGTACACAAGAGAGGTGGAGGCGTCACAGCGAGGCAGATGAAAGTGAGTCACGGGGCATCTAGTTGAAGTACAAGTGTTCTGATCAGAAGTGCGGGTGCTTCGATTTGAAGTACAAAAGAATAGAACACGCCAGCGAGAGAAGTAAAGTTTCAAGACGACGATGATATATCTCTAAGGGAGTTTGGAAATCAAACCTAATGTGGAGATTGTTGGAATTGTGTCTTTGATTCTTTGTATAACTTTATGAGAATTAGATAGGTTAGAGATCTATCATGATTAAGAGATTGGGTCTCATCATGATTACGAGTTTGAATCCTATTCTAATTAGGAAGTTAAGTTAGAAATAGAGTTTTGATTTTCCTATATATATTATTCTATTGTTGGAGAAAAAACCAAGGGGAAGAGAGAGAGCCAGTATTCTTGTAATTTAGGGTTAGCAGAAGGCGTATCCTAATTCAAGGATATTGTGCGAGAGACGATGGTTTCATAGGCTTTATCCGTGTAAAAGATTATAATATTAGGAGATGATTTTGCAGTCTTTGTCCGTTCAAAAGATTGTAAGGAGCGGGTTTTAGAGAGAATATGAGAGTTAATTATGTATGTGTGGTTGAGAAATTAAGAGACGAGAGTTGAGTGGTTCCTCTTGTAGTTCTATCTGATACATAGTAAATTTCTCGTATTGTTGCCCCGTGGATATAGGTTAAATTTGGTCGACCGAACCACGTAAATCTCAGTGTTCTTTCTTTTTTGATTGCGGTTGTTTTCTATCTTATTGATTGTGGGTTGGCTTCCGAGTTGCGGAGATCGTAGTACGCGGGGAGACTAAATTCCCCAATAAAGGAGATGCTGAAAGATGGTAAAACATAAATGAGGTCTTGAGGGTGCTAAGAGAATCTTAACGTTAAAAACAAGTCAGAAAAGTATCAGACACAATGGAGAAATAAAGATCTTATAATGAAGGATCAGACACAAACATCTTATAATAAAGGAACTAGGAAGGAAGCATCATCAATTCTCTAAGCACTGGTAGGATTCACAATGTCAAAGGAGCTCCTATATATAATAATTATTTGAAAATTTATGTATTCCTCCATGTGATAGGATATCAACTTATTTCTCAGGAAATCCCAAGAACATCAAACTATATTTTTTCTCTCAACAGAACAAAATCTGCACCATTCATTGTATTCATCAACTTTGTGCAAAAGCATATCAATTAATGTCATAGAACATATCATCAAGTTTCAAATTGTGAAAAATTATATATCCTCTACATGCTTGAAACTAGAACGACGACAACTTTCTGATTCCATATCAAACATAAGAAAATCTGGTAAAACAAATTTATTCAGATTATGGGCATAGATAAAACAGAATAGCAGCTTAACATGATTATTTTGAATGCCCCACCTGGAGCAGTATCTTTGGTATGCCTATAATATGAGGCAGCATATACTTAAAATGTCATTTATATCCGTAAAAAAAGAACCTCTGGATTGATCACTTTGACAATATCATATGTACCTTTTGTAGATTGCAAAGATGTTCGCAAACAGCACCTGGCCCACCTGTACGCAAGAGTTGAATAGAAATTGAGGCAACATTTCTGGCTGAAACCTTCCCTTTAGTTTTTTCTTCCACCCACTATAATTCACATTAAAGATCATTCATTGTTCTCATAGGTTTGCAACCATGCTTAAACATCGTAAGAGTATATATGATCATACCTCTCTGAGATTTGAGGATTTGTAACCGAAGGCCGCATCTTTAGCGAACTCAGTCTCTCCAGCAGGAACAAGCCTACTCCAGATAATGAGTAGGTAATTAAAGTGAGAATTAAGATGCTTTCGTAGCACAAATATAAAATTACCTATCAGAATCTGCAACATAGTGGATATCATCAATAGTATAACGTCCTCCCTGAAGAAAGAAGGGACAAACAATCCATGCATCCATCTCCCCCAAAATCGAGATAGCAGCATCTGCCTCCTGAAGATCATAAATTCAAATGTTAACTTAGCAGCACAAATGGCTAGACAGTACAGTATAACGAGAAAAAGGGCTCAATAAGTGAAATGTCTTGCCTCTGGAAAGTGTCCACGGAGTGTTGAATCACCTCTTAGAACTATTGTGTAACTAATTCCATTAACTGCTTTAGCTGCAGTGTCAAGGTTCCTACAAATTTCTTTCGTCAATAGGACAGCCTGTACAATGTCTAGGACATTAATATAGTCGGAACCTAATAATACAATACTTTTACAACAGAATATAAGGAAAATTAATTGAATAATAGTAAGAGGTTAGCAAATTTGGCATGTTCTATATTGTGAATTCTCTACCTTCTCTGTGCTGAGTGATCTGGAATTAGTTAAAATGAAAAAACAGGTAGATCTTTTGCTCAACTGCTCCACTAGCGTGTTAACATTCCTGGATTTGTACAAGATAACGAATAGTGAGAAGCTAAAGAGAACCCCTTTGCCAGACCAAAACTCAGATAAGCATACAGTATTTTCTGGTCATAGATACTCCAATTACATGATCTGTTAATAAAGGACAAATTTTCAAAATAGACCCTTTTAGAAAAATATTAACCAATTTCAATCTAGTTGCAATTTATTTATCAAATTCAGCCTAGTTTCAGCCACTTCAGCAACGTGGGTTGAAATTGGTTCAATTTGTGAAATACTTTCCCAAAAACTCTATAGGATAGAGAAATCCCATAGGGTTTAGTAGATAATAAAACTATACAGGATTATTGATCCTGTAGATATAAATTCCACGGGATTGGGAATCCTATGGGAGTTTGTAGCAATACAAACTCCACAGGATTCGCAAGCCCGTAAAGCTACAGACACGCGCGCCACAGAGAGTGCTCTCTGTGGTTTCATGTCTGCAACTCCACGGGATTTGCAATCCCGTGGAGCTGCAGACTAAACCACAAAAAGCACATACATGATTGTGAATCCCGTAGGATTAAGACTAACTCCACAAGTGGGACCCACTTGCTCGACCTTATAGTCTCTCTGCATTCTCCCCAACTTACACACACTCTCTCTCTCTCTCGCCCCCCCCCCCCCTCGCTATTAAGCTCCTCCGACCCTCCATCAGTTGTTGACCATCTCCAATCACGACCTCTCACTGCTGCCGACATCCCTTTGACCGAAGCTTGAGTTCACCGGAGTTCGTTTTTAGGGTTTGAAAAATTATTTGATAAATTATTTAAACATTTTAATATTTTACTTTTTTTACATATTTTCTCTATTTCATCCCAATAGCTTGTTTTAGTATAGATTTTGGAGTAATGTTAGATTTTTTCTAAATTTTTTATGCAATTTGAAGGAAAATTAGGAAAATTTGTATGCAATTGAAGGAAAATTAGGGACAACGATGTAATATTTTATTGAGTTGATGTTGTGAATTTGGATTAGTGTTTATTTTAGATATTATTGAACTAGTCAAAATTGTCAACATTATTTTTAGGGTTCCTTGTGTAATATTAGTTCATGCTGAATTTTTTTACTCCTCACAAGTAACGATGAACGATCAATTCCCAATCCTTTGTTCGTATGATGGGAGATTTAACTATTTTAAGAATAACATCCTCTATAAAAAGAAGGGGTGACGAAACCTTTGTCTATATCCAAATCATGTACTTTCAATGGATTGATTAATGACTTACACAAACTTACAATGATCGATCCACGTGAGTATCACCTCAATGTGATTTATAATTATCATGTAACAGTGAACAGAACAAGTGTCATTCAAATCTCAAATGACTATGACATAAGTCTTATCTTCATATTGTACGACGAGAAGCATTCTGTAGAATTGTTTATTGAAAAAATTTAGAGGAATTTCAGTAAAATGGTGACTTATGATTGAGTGTACTGTTGCATGTTGGAGGATGTTGAAGTTGACTCGACATTTTTTGTCTCTGCAACCGAAAATGGATTTGACACAATCACAACACTTGAGCGGGCCTTCGATTCTAAGGAAGTCAAGTGCCTTCGATGATGACACTCTCCATCAAGATAGGTAACAGAAGAGAAGAATGCAAGTGTCGACTCGGAGGATGATAATGATGAAGATGGCTTACAAATTAACAGCATGATGTGTTTGACCGACCAAAATGAAGGAAACTACCAATTGATTGACCGATGTTATTCTAAAAATGAGTATGTCATGATAGAAGATCCCCGCCCGTTGAATATTCACACAGATGAATGGATTGATGACTCGGCAATGGAAAATGTTCCTATTAACCCAAGTTTACATGATGAGGTACAGGGCAATGACTTCACATTCAAAAAGGGTGATATATTTAGAAGTAAGGAGAAGTTTGTACTTGGTACATGTCGTTCATTTATGGTCTATAAAAAAAGTCAAGTTCAAGCAAATGAAAAGTAATGAAACAAGCTATAATGTAGTTTGTTTCTATAATAAAAAGGGTGATCAAGAAGATGTCAATGCTCATCACGATGGAAATGAAAAGTGTCCTTAGAAGCTTATTTCACACTTGTGAGTAAGAGTAGGCAGACAATTTAAACTAACACACTATAACGGAGTTCACACATAAAGCAATTCTCGATTAGAAGTGAATCATAAATATGCATCTGCCTCTTTCATATATCAATTGATTATGCCTAAATTAAGGAAGGATCTTGATCTAAACTCAAAGGATATTCACGCTTTACTATGTGAAGCGACCAACTTGGATGTATCATACATCAAATGTTCAAATGCTCAAAGGAAGATGATGACAAAAATATTCGGAGATTGGGGCAAGTCTTATAAGATATTATCACATTGTCTGGAAGCACTCAAAAAAAATTCGGGACCATGTATGAAGTTTCATCAGAACCGGTTAACAGCGGAGATAGATAATTTATGGGGGTAATTTGGGTATTTGATCTTTCCATCGAGGAATTCAATCATTGGCGTCCTATTCTTAGCATTGACGGCACACATTTGTGTGGTAAATATAAAGGCATATTGCTCATTGCAGCTAGCATAGATGCAGAAGGTGGTTTATTTCCTTCGATTTTTTATGTTGATGTCAAAAACATAGAAACTTGGTCATACTTTTTTGCATGCATTAGTTTACATATTCCCAGTGTGCGAGTGAAGACAACTATAGTCATATCAGATAGGATGAAGGGAATTCTAGATGCGCTTGAAAGTGGATGTTCATCACCACATCACCATCGATATTGCTTAAGATATATTAGGAATAACTTCAAGAGGAAGCATGGACAAGTGCATATCCAAAATCTCCAAGCTAGATGTGCAATGGAGAAACTGATGTATGAACAACTACGTAAAGAAATTAAGTCCATTTCGCAAGCTGCGCATAATTAGATCGAGACTAGTTTGGGTCCGAACAATGTCGAAAGGTAGGCCTTATGTGAAGATGACGGGAAACGGTTTTGTATGATGATCACAAACACTTCTGAGAGTTTGAAAAGTGTGCTTAGGGAGCTCATGGTATGCTAATACATCATTTGTTGCAAAGACATTATATAGACTTAAAAAAATTCTTTCTCAGATGGCGTACACTTTGGAGCAAATATGATATTGAAGTTAACTCCGAAAGTTGAAGGCATCATACTAGATCGGATTCTTTATGCTAGATCATGTCATGTTATTAGATTATGTTTTAATGAATGAGAGGTTATTGAGGGATTCTCACATAGAGAAAGTCGTTCTTGCAAAGTCAATATGCACGTGGATCGTACTTGTACATGCACTTGCGACATTCCACAATTATAATAACTTCCTTGTGCCTATGTTGTAGCAACTTGTTCAGATGTAGAGGGGGTGTGAGGATATCACACTATGAATTCGTCACAGAGTGGTATTCATGTTATAGCTATCAATAAACATATAGTAAGTGTTTTTGTTCACCACATGATAGTCGGCATTGGACGCATGGTGGACCACAAATATTAACTCTTAAGCATAAGAAAACAACAAGGAGATCTCATTTTGTACGAATTAGAAATACTATGGACGAACGAAGGGAAGGAGTTAGGAAGAAAAATATGTATAGTCAATGCAATCAATCGGGCTACAACAAAAAAAAGTTGTCCAACTAGACTTAGTACTTGATTTTTTAAGGTTTGTTTGCATGGAAAAGACATACTTATTAATTTTGATGGAAGCAATGTTATAAAAAAATAGTTAAGTTTGATGGAAATTAAGTACATCTTTTGTTGTATATAGTTTTAGTTTCCTTTTTATGCCCTTCAGTGTTGATGCTTGCACATGTTTATTAAGTTGCTTAGTTATGTTCGTGTATATATGATTATTGTGTTGTATTTTAATTGCAAAGAGATATACTATGGAACCTAGATTGATCCAAGGGCATGTACTACACCAGCAGGCCGGTCATCGTTCCAAGAAGATTGGATTAGGACATGTAAATTAAATAAGCATTTGTTGCGTATGTATTTTTCTATTTTTGCATGAAATTGAATATGGTATTCTAAAGAATTTTCTTAATTTGGATTAATGTACAGGATGTATCAGAGATCAACATAGTCTATCATACTCAGAGTCATTCAGTTTGGAAGATGGAGGATGATCAAGTATTATAGTTGGTTAGTCAGGTCGATTTTCTGGAGTATTCTTCGATGCGATAGATTAGGGTTAACTGGGCCCTAATCTGTGTTTTGATTGATCGGTAGAGGCCAGAGACTAGTACCTTTCATATGGACATAGGGGAGTGCACAATTACATTATAGGATGTAACCATTATACTCGGTCTCCGAATTGATGGCCTAGTTGTTACACCGATACCCATAATTGAAGGATGTATGTGAGAGGCTTCTCCACTGTGAAGAGTAGTGCGATGAAGCTATCATTGCTTTGAGAAACATTTATGGAAAATACACCTATTGACGCCACAGAGGAGACGATTGGTGCTTTGCTCGAGCTTATACATTACACATGCTAGGCGTTATGTTATTTCCTGATGCGAGCAAAAGTCGTGTACATGCTCGATAGTTGACCCTTCTTGAGGATTTGGAGAGTGTCACTCTTTCATGGGGTAGTGCAGTATTAGCATATTTCTATAGAGATCTAGCAAGAGTTTCTTTGATGGAGAATAAGGACTTCAAGAGTTGCATGATATTGCTATAGGTTTGATTGTGTGAAAACATACATATTAGGTGACCTACTTTACGGACACATCGCGATCTTAGGGGTGATGGGTCAGCTTCCATTAGGATGCAGTATTCAAATATAATATTTAGAAACATGTTTATTGCTTAGTTTTATTCTTATGAAAATTTTGATATCTTTGTCATGCCAAACAGACATACTGTGAAGAGGTCCTATAATACCCTGACCAGACATGCAGATTATTATAGAAACAAGCTAGATATCATGCAACACAAACATAAGAAATTTGTCTCACAATTCAAAATTTATATTCATATTTTGCTATAGATACTAATACACATTTTTTAAAATTTGTTTTTCAGTTCAAGTGCATGCTTTATACTCTCAATGAACTCGATTCCCTTGCACCTATTTGCAGAGAGAACGCTGATTTGTGGAGGGCTAGCATACTGTTGATCTGTTTTGAGATTGTGGAGATGCATGTGATAGATCACATTTTGAGACAATTTAATTTAGGACATCATTTGCCCGATTTTGTTGAGCAAATCGATCGCATGTGTTGGATGACATCACATCATGTGGACTGGGGGAAATATTGTGAGGACTACATAATCTAGTGGAATGACAGATAAAATCTTGTAGAGCATGAGGGCTCCACTATCTTATATAGAGTATATGCATTGATATTGAGGTATCACACGCAGATGGATCGTACATGATCCATACTCAGCAGCTGGATTCATACTACGCCCCCATCGGATACTTACACGCCGAGGGACATGGTCGAGAGGGATTATGTAAGTTTTTAAACTCAAACAAAAAGAATATTCTTCTTTTAAAATCATATGACTTGCTAAGCTACGTAGCTTCTGACTAAAATGCAAATTTGTGCATTTGATAATATTGTAGAACATATATAAATGAGAGCATTGCTGAGATTCGAGATCCAAAAGCACGACCAGTATTAAACAAGATCTGAAGGATGATAGCTAATATGTTCCATAGGAATCACGTCGATAATTTGAAGGCCGTAAGAATAGGACACGTGAATTCATAAAGGTGTACAGGCGAAGACGTAAGGCGGACTCTTCTAAGACGCATGATAATAGAACCGTCACTTCTCAGTGTACTCCACCTGATGAGGATGATCCACCCGTTACACAGACCTCATATATAGACAAATAGTGAGATTATTGAGGCTCATGTTCGTGGACGTCGCGGGTGGGGTTGGGGATAGCGGGAAGAGGTAAGAGAGGAAGAGGAAGGATGGGAGGAATGCTAGAATGTGTGTGACTTTTTTTAAATGACACGATGTTTGTTTTGTGGTTGTGGATCTTTCGTGAGTATATTTGGCTAGATTGTGGTTGGATTGTTTGCAAAGATTACTTGTGTGGATGGATTTTCGTGTATATCTGTGATTAGATTCTCATGTATTTTATGTGATTGGATTTTCGTGTATATGTGGTTGCTTGGATCTTCGTGTATATGTTGAGATTGTCAACTTATAACAGGTTGTGAAAGATATGATAGATAGCAATTTGGAAACTCGCTGTCTGGTTTTATCTGTAGCTCCACGAGATTCTCAATCTCCTAGAGTTTTTTTGTGAAACAAACGCCACGTGATTCCCAATCCCGTGTAGTTTAGTAGAGTGTTAAATTCTACGAGATTGAGAATTCCGTGGAATTTAATTATCTACTAAACTCTATGGGATTCCAAGTCATGTGGAGCTCGTGGGAAAGTATTTCGCAAATTTGACCCAATTTCAGCCCACGTTGCTAATGAAACTGAAACTAGGTCGAATTTGATAAATAAGTTGCAACGAGGTCGAAATTAGTGAATATTTTTCTAAAATGGTCTATTTTGAGAATTTGTCCGTTAATGAAACTACAGTTGCATAAAAAAAACAACATACCAAAACAGTAACAAGCATAAGATAGAAACCCAACCATTCAGTTAAAACTTCTATGTCATGTACAGTTTGAGTTCCTGTGGGGTCATCATCCAAAACTACCAGGACTTTCGAACCATTTTGTCTCTCTAGAGCATGAATTTCTTCAATTGGATCCTCTGGCCATTCAGGTGGAAGAGACCTTAAGGCATCCTCTTTAATAAGAGCAGGAAGTTTCCCTTCAACTTTAACACCAGTTAGTTTCTCATAGACCTGCCACGAAATTAGCATCCTATCAAGATCATAATACTGTATATGAAAATGAAATCTGATTTCAAGCTGTGTCACCAGGCAAATGGGACTTATGTGTTGTCTACTATGGTGCAGTTTCTTAGCCATCCACAGTTGCCTTTGTTGATTCCAAAATAACAAAATACTAGTTGTGTCGTCCATAGCCATCACAGAAACAAATAGTAATGCAGTTTAAGTATAGATTTTTATCAATATACAAATACGATTGATTTGGGGTATCTACCTTAATTTTCAACATCACTAATATACCCCTGATTAAGTTAAGTATGCTTCTTTATCCAATTAGTTTCTCATGAGATTATTTACACTTATATGCCATTGCCATCAATCAATTAGCCAACTGAGCCTACTGGAAGCTAGAAACTTCCCCAGAACAGCTTATGTTCCTCCCAGTAACATGGACAGTCACACTCTTCCTTAAGGTTACGATATCAATGTCCACATTTTCAACATTAGGCTTGAATCATTTTCATAAACATGGATATCTAGAAACCTGTAAAAGCATCAAGATATCCATTCATTTCAAGTAGGGATAAAAACTACCAGAATAACAACATATCATACCTTCACTACAGCAGCATCATCAGATCGACCCCAACCAGAAGCAGAACCTGTTAAATGATGCACAAAAAAATCTCTTTATTAACAGACTGCACAGAAGATGCAAATATTATTTTAAACTTCAAAAATTCTAATAAAATCATCACAGATTAACAAAATACAACATAATTGGAAAATCAAAATAAGAGACACCATCCTCTTAATGTTTCTCAAACTGTAGGAGTCGTACTGAAAAAATGTAGACAAGTGTGACCGAGAAAACATAAGAGTTCTAACAAGTCACTTGCATGACATAAAATCAAGGTTCAACAAACAACAAACAAAGAAATCCTCAATGATTATTTAACCTGATATAAATAGCTGATGTGCGGTACTTGATATATGAAGTGGCATCTTAAGGTGGAAGCCTTCGGTACATACAATACCCTGCCAGAGAAAAATTATTATGTGTGACTCATTTGATACAACTTAGTGTGTTTACTTACTTACAAGTTAAGTAAATGGTCAGAATTTAGCATAAATCTATACCAGATCTTTTACAAAGATATCAACTGCAGAATATGGCGTGTAATCACTGTCTAACATGTGAGGTACACGATTCCCAAACATCCTGCATAGAATTAATATTATATTTGTTAAACCATTTATAAGGTTATAATATCTCAGTGAAAACAGCTTCTTTGATCAGTGCTAAAAATTATTGAACTTCCCCTGGACTAGGGCATTGATGAAACCAGTTAAATAAGCTCATCCAGAAGAAAAGCTAGAGCATACAAGCCATGAATAGATCATTTTATTCTAAGTACCTATGCAAATATTGCTTGCATAAGATTAAGACTACAAAATTTTGTAAATAGCAAACTGGCATGTAATTACATATTTCTGGCAAAGACAAGAAATGGCCTTCGCTGTGTCCAATTCGGTTATCAAAGTTGAATAAGATTTCACAACAGTAAAATGCAAAGTTTTACGCTAGCCACACATATATTCATCATCAGACGATCCATAGGTATAGACGCAAGCGTCTGGCTTACCATGAATAGCCCCTAGTATGATTAACAATATCAAAAAGCATCCTGGTGTTTAAACCAAATCGAGCCCCTAGAGCCATTCCCTCAGCTGCTGCTGCTATATGAACTCCAGCAAGCAACTGATTTACAGTCTTTACAGAACTGGTAAAAGAAGAAAATAAAATCACCGTGAACTTTCTGCTGCCAAGTAATTGAACTGCTTGTATTTATGGGAACTTGCTAAGGTTCATGCATGCATATGCAAAATAATCAATTCTAAAAGAATTTGAAAGTGCATAAATGAGGAAGAATTGTTACTTCATATGCATTTATACAAACAGCAGATGTGAATCCAAGAGGTTTGTACCTTGCAGCACCACAGCCACCTTTTATGATATAGAGCTTCTCACTTAATGCTGTAATTTCAAAAAAGGTATAGCTTCAAATTATAACATTTCCATATGGGCATCAATATATTTCTTGCAACAATGGGTACATATCAATACCAGAGAGAACGGATCCTGTATCGCCAAGAGCTTCAGTGCTGTCCGCCTGGAAGCCCATTATCTACGAAGAGAGATCTAAAATTTTGAATGAGAGGCAACTAAGATGGGGACAACTTAACAGTAAACTCATATAGTATATAACTAATACCTTATATAATATATTAATTATATAGTTTTTATTATAATATCATATATTAAATATATTCATACTATATATATATATATATGAGCATATGGGATATGTGCTTTGTTCGGTAGCAAGCCACATAAAAAGTTATGCTTTTGGTAGTGATGTGTCACATCCCCCTCCACTCATTCAAATATAGGACCACATTCACGATGGCGTAGCTGTTAGGTGATATGAGGAAATGTGAACAAACAAATCACTACCAAGCTTCGAAATTTATGCTTGATACCAATGCATATCCAGTTTCTCTCTCTCCCGGTCTCTTCTATATACTATATATTATTTTTTTTGGTGTGTGTGTCTCACACACACATATATATGTATGGTATGTTATATATGTGTGTATATATTATATATATATATATATATTATATAGTAGTATAATATATAATTTTATGTGATTTGGTATATTATTAGTATATAATATTATATAATGGTATATATGAGTATTCTTCCTCCTTAACATTTTTTGGTACCAAGCACAATTTTGTGCTGGGTGTAAGAAATGAATTGGTGCCAGCAATCCCTTTCACTTATTCATTAATGGCGGAAGGACACATTCACATGAGTGAGCGGTGCCATGAGGATATGAACAACCATTTGAATCGATGTGCCTGAGGGATTGTGCCACCTCTTGAAACTACCAAGCACAAATAATTTTTCGTGCCTTGTTTGAAATAGTAGGTGACACATTTCCCTCCGCTCATTTAAAATCGGGGCCACAGTTCACATGGGTTGGGCGGAGTGCGTTAGGAATTGGAATGAGGGGATGGGGAATATGCTATCTCACATACCAAATTGCCACAAAATTGTCTGTTGGGTACCAAACATAGCCCATTTTCTCATATATATATGTACACACAACCTATGACAGCGACGGTCATACGCATAACATGAAGCGTGTTCGTGTCTGTGCGCTGCTACGGACACAACGCTAGATCAATGGCAAAACCCCACGTACATCCGTATGACTATTTTTTAAAGCGATTATATGCACCTCAACAAATGTCAGGCGTGGTCGGCTATGGCCATGTCGGATCCGTGTCCGTGCTACATTAGCGCGCGCGCACACACACACACCTCACACACACACACACACACACATATATATATATATATATTATATATTATTATATATATATAGAGAGCAGAGAGAGAGAGGAGTAAGACTCCTATCACTTAAGTTGATGATTCCACCAAACTTCCTAGCCACTCATTTTATTAATATAAAAAACCTTTTCAGTATCATGCAAGGATCCCTGAGCCAATATGAGTAGCTAAAAAGTTTGGTGGATAACCTTTTGCATAGTTAACATTAAGTTGACACATGCCAGTTGTTGCTTCATATATCATTGTACTCATTATACATTTACACCACAACAACAAATATATTCCGATATATATACATACATATACGGTACATACATACATATATATAGTTGATTATTATATATATATATAAATATATATATATATATATATATATATATTATATATATATATATAGATATATATATATATATATATATATTACATTACATTATATAATATATATAACATTATATAGGTACATACATACATAAGTACATATACATATACATATATATATATATATATATATATATATATATATATATGAATTATTAAAAAAATCAATGCATGTGAAAGAAAATAACAAAAGTAAACTCATACTGTAAGTGTTCCGTCTGCTGCCCTTTTAACACCACCAGACACTGGTGCATCCACTAACTTGAAACCCCTCTGTTCATCTATATGATATGTTACAGTACCGTTATCATGTGAGAAATTGAAAGAGAGAATCTCACATTTGGAGAATAAAAGACAGATCTCATTGCATGAAGAGATTGAAATGCTAACAGTATATAATGTAGAAGCTATTATCATCATGCAAGGGTAATACAAAGACCTGAACAAACATAATGCTTTTTTTTTTGGAACCACTTGGTAGAGATTTCAGGTTCATTAATTATAGCAGCTTTTATTGGAAATGAACTATCATTATTGACATATCTTTCCACATCCATCTGCAGAAATCTCCGCTTTTTTCATGTATTCTCAGTATCATATTTCATGAACATGGCCGCATTTGTTTTATTGCCTCTTTGGATAACTGTGCGGAACAGAGATGATATCTAGAATAAGCATGTGATTTAGGTTATCTCAACAGTCATGATGCATATTGGGACTCCTATGGATGAACTAAAGCAAGTTGAAATATGTAACATCTATGTTCACAATAATGTTAGCAACTCCTACTAACATATGCAGTCTAGCTTAATAATCAGAAAATTTTGAATCTGAAAAAAATATGTAACCAGGATTATAAAAATGAAAGAAGGAAACAGAACAGAAATAGTGGAGAATATGTCTATATTATCTAAAATCTAACAATGCCAGAATAGAATGGTGGCCTACCCTTTAACCTCTGCTCAAGACGAATAATAAACCCAGGGGAGACAGTAGAGGAAAGAATTATTGTTGCTCCACCTGGTAGGTCTACAAATGTAAAAGAAAGAAAAAAAATTATATATGTCCATAAAGGTAAGAAGCTGAAAGTCGATGAAGATAATTTTAGGTTGTAACAAGATACAAGTCACAGAAATGCAGAAAGGCTGTTTACCTGATACCGAGCCAGCATCTCCGTAAAGAACACTTTCAGCCTGGACTTCATTTGTAACCATTATTATGAGAACTTGTACATCTGGAGAATGTGTGCTTTAATCACATAATTATAATGTAATGATAAATTCTTGAATAAGGATTATCATATCTAAAATGAATATTTAGACAGTATTCTAAAAGGTAAATTCAAATAGAATAAAACTCGATTAAGTGAGTACAATGAGGAATTTCTCAGAGATAATTGGAATAATTTGGCACTTGCTTGAACTTTGCCAGTGGACTTATGCTGACATCGTATATCTTGAATAAGAATTGACTACTTGGTGTTTTTGGCTACCATTTATAAATAATAAAGTGCTTGTTGGGAATTTACGCCGAAACCCCTAAAACAACAGAAACGTGGTATAGAGAAAATACACCAAGATGTAACGAGGTTCGGCAACTGCCTACGTCCTCGGGAGCCACACAGTAAATTTCTTATTAATCAACAAGAAATTACAAAACTTAGAGCAGATCTCAAACTGAGATCTCTTAATAAATACAACACTGTAGCTACATGTTAATCCTCTCTCTCAAATAAACCCTTTTTAATTCTCTCTTCTTTTAATTCCTCTTCTTAAATTCCCCCCTCAAACTTCACTGATTGAGCGTTGGAGAAAAAGAGGGAAAGAAAAAAAACTTCGCTGTCGCCGCTAGGGTTTAAGATCGCGAGAGGAGAGAGAGATGAAAGAAGCACAGGGGGCTAGGGTTCTGAATTCCCTTTTATAAGGGAACCCTAACGCCAGGCTGGTGACAGGCTGTCGTCAGCCACACTTGCGCCCCCCAACCTCGCATGTGGGCGCCTCTAACCTTGCCTGCAGAGCTCTCGTCCGTCTCAACCTCGCCTGAAGGAGCTCGACTCGAACTCGCCTGCAAAACGCCTGGACCTCGCCTGATCCGCCTCTCGCCTACCTCAAGCTCGCCTGATGTCAACCCCGAGCTCACCTGATCTGAAGCTCCGACCTCGAGCTTGCCTGCGTCGTCAGCCTCGCCTGCGTCGAGTTCGCCAGCACTCC